CACACACACACACACACACACACACACACACACACTCACACCCAGGTTGATCTGTCTGAAAGAGCAGCATAAACCCATTGCCACAAGTCTGTACTGATTCTGACTTGCAAAGACTCCATAGGACAAAGCAGAACTGCCCCTTAGGGTTTCATGACAACAGACTGCTGTCAGGTCTCTCTCTCCCACAGAGCAGCTGGTGGGTTCAAACCACCGACCCTTCCGAGAGTGTTGAATCACTGCACTCCCAGGATGACACCTCTTTCTCTTACATGCACACGCACACGCATGCACACGCCCCTTCCCTCGCTTCAGGGACTTCACCCATGAGTTTATATGCGTGGGATTGATAGACTTTGTCTCTCTCTGTCACTTATCCACACACACAGTCTCACACATACTCACACTCAGACTCTCATTTTCCCTGCCTCCCACCACCCCCTAACACCTTTCCCAACCACCACCCCCCATACCCGCTCTCAGGGATGTCCCCTTGGGGTGTACATGCATGGGGTGGGTGGCTTTGGAAGGGTACTCTGAGGAAGACTGGGGTTCAGGTCTGAGCCCCCACGTTGTCTGGCAGATCCTCTCAGACTGCCTCGAGGTGCTGATGGAGCTGGGCCCCTGGGGTGCGGACCAGGTGGCAGGGCTGAGAGTGCAGGAGCTGCAGGAGCGCCTGGAGCAGGAGCAGGTGGAGCTGCACCGCAAGTTCCTGCTCCTGGCCGACACCTGCCTGAGGCAGGTGCACGCCCTCTGCGGAAGGCACTTCGCCACCGCCGCCAACCCCCTGGACCCGAAGTTCCTGACGCCCAAGGCCACCATGCTGCTGGAGATCCTGCGCCAGTACAGGCCCCGGGAGCGGCAGCAGTTCGAGAGCGTCCTGCGCAGCTGTCAGCAGAACCAGGGGGGCTACGTGTCTTGGGGCGATTTCGAGGAAGACGATGAGGAAGATGAAGAGATTGAGGAGGAGAAACCAGAAACAAACTTCCAGGCTCCCTGCACCAACTTCTTGTGCGGGATCATTTTTGTGGAGCAGCGATACACCGCCGTTGCCCTGAATAGGTGAGTGAGAGGTGGGCATTCTGTGCCCCCTGGTTTTGCTTGGCGATGTGCGATGGAGCAGCCGCAGAGCTGGCAGAAGGAGGTGGTGAGTGCCCTGACCCTGGGACCACCGCTGGTCACCAGTCACGCGGCTTGGGGGTGGATGGAGGGCATTTACTCTGGAATGCACAGTTGATGTTGTTGGTAGGCGCCACGGAGTTGGTTCTGACCCATAGTGACTGTGCACACAGTAGGGACCACTGCCCATCCTCACAATGGGTCACACGCTTGAGTCCGTTGCCGCAGCCACTGTGTCAATCGTCTCCTGGAGGGCCTGCCTCTTTTCCACTGCCCCTCTACATTACCAAGCATGAGGTCCTTCTCCAGGGAACCGTCTCCACTGACAACATGGCCCAGGTTTGTGAGACCAGGCTCACCATCCTTGCCTCTAAGGAGCACTGTGGTGGTACTTCTTCCAAGATACAGCGGCATTTATAGTTGCTTTCCCCAAAGTCCAGGTTTGATGTGATGTGTCTCACAGGACGCCGATCCACCAACTCATGTTAAAAATCCACAGCAAGTGTACAAAAGCTAGTTACAGGAAAACACCCTTTGCTTTGAAGTCCATTCACTTAAGTCAGATGTCTCTTATTCTGTGACTCTGTGCTAGACCTCGGGCTAAGCATCTCCTGTTCGGTTTTCTCCCATCCCTTAACTTCAGGATAAATTTTGCCTGGGCGTTATGGTGGTGCAGACATGGCTAACTTTTGTTTTCTGACAAGTCTGTATGTTCCAGTGGGCAAGTCTGCAAGGGAACTAGTGTAGAACAACTGGGCTCTCTCACTGATGGGGGTTCAGAAGCTCCAGGTACTCTTTTCTGACTCAGGTTAGAATTTTGAGAACATTAGCGAAGGTGGTGGTGAATCTACATTGTGGGGTCTGGATTCCAGCCCCACTCCTGTCATCAGTTTACTTTCCCTGCCTCTAGACACAGCTGTGTGTCAAGTGGGTGGGTGTCTGGGTCTTTTGGTTTGTGGATAGGTAGGTGTGCCTGTTAGTTTCTTCCCCCTGCACAAAAGGGGGGTATCTTTATTTTGTATTTGAAGTGATCTACTTTTCTGCGAGATCTATTAATCGGCCCAAGCTGATCCCTAAGAGCCTCTTCTGCAAGTAGTGATCTCTGAGGAAAAATTGAGCTTTGCGTCGTGAGGTAATTGGGGTTTTCCTTTTCTTTCTTCCCTTCATGCCCCTCTTGTCTTAACTGCTGCTGAAATGTTTAGGGTAACGAAACTTTTTTGAGTAACAAAAATTTGGACTCCAGGGTGGTCACCTGGGCAGTTCTCAGTCTGGTAATTTCCAGAGTCAGTGGTCCAGATTCCTCTGATGACTGTGATGTAAACAGCCCGGGAGCAAATTACCTTCAAATTACATGCTTAAGGAGCCATGGGGTCCAGCTAATCCGACCCACTTGTTTCAGCCACAGGAAAAGGGAGGGAAGTTGCTCATCAGCTGGTCCTCTCTGTGCCCCTGTGGGAAGGGCCCCAAGGGACAGGCAGTACTGAAAGCCCTATCTTCCTCTGAGGAGCCGCTGGTGGTTTGGATCTGCGGATGCTACTCTTGGCTGTGTCCCTGGGCGGGAGTGATTCCCTCAGGAGGTAGACATTTCCTTCCCAAGTATCTGTTTCTCAGCCAAGTGAAGTCAGCCAGAGTGGGGGTTTTGGAAAAGCCTAGCCATCTTCACCTACCCAGGGGGAACTGGAAGTTCCTTGTTGTAACCGCAGTATGATCTCAGTGGTGCTCACTCACAGGGACATGTTCTCCCGATGGTAACAGATGGGATGGCGGCCCTTCCCTGACCCAGCCTGTACATCCCAGCAAGCCAGGCTCTGGCTGTGATTGCTTTACTAAAGCTCCTGTCCTGAAGGCAGACTCCAAGAGGGACGCTGCACTGTGGGCTGCCTGGGAAGGATCCTCCAGACAGGCAGGCAGGCTTGGACCACCCTCTGATGTTCATCTGCTTCTTGTATGAAGGGAAATGAGAGCTAGACATAGACTTTGCTGCTGGCTGGTGCCCTGGGTCCATGGGTCATGCTCTCTGGCTTTTTGATTGGAGCTATTTATTCCTGAGCCAGCTGCCTGGCAGCACTGCCTGCTCTATGCTGGGTGACCCCTCTTCCATTTCCTGGGTGCCTTGCCCTGAGCCTCTCCAGCAGAGCTGGCAGAAAGGGCCATAGTGAGGCCTCTTGGACCCACCAGTAGGCTAGGTAGGGGCACCATGTTCTTCCCTGCCCAACAGGGGGAGCAGACCCAGGAGGCAGGAAAATGATGGGGATTGAGAGGTTTCTCCACAGGCCAGTTGTGACTTCCCCAATGTTCCACCTGAGTGCCCAGGGGCTGGGTGTGACAAGAGGTGGCTGAGCCTTCGCCCCGGCCTGAGGGCTCTGAGGACTGGTGAGTGGGAGTAAGGCCCCCTTGACTGATGTCCCTGTGTGCTCTATCGGGGGTCACAGCTGTGCTCCCATTCTGCGCCCGCATCAGGGAACCGTGGTGAGCTTTGTTTTGCAGTTTGTTTTTCCCCAAAGTCCTGCCCCCAAGTCAAGGCGCTGAGGGTGGGGACACACATGCCTCTGTCCTGCCCAGCCTTGTAGGGGCCCACGTTTCTCCTAAGTCATCTTTGCCACATCAAGTGTCTAGGATAAAGTGACCATTCTCAGTACTAGCACAGCTCGGCCTCGTTTGGATACTATAATCCCCTGGACAATGGGTGGAGGGAGGTGCAGATGGTAGGCTATCAGCCTGACCCAGTCAACAGACACGCAGACAGGATGCCCAGCCCCTTTCTCAGTGTGCTCCATTAAGGGACATCCGCCTCCTTTTTACAAACTCAGCGAGTTCATTCCTTCAGTGGACCCAGTATTGTCCTCCCTACTTTGGCTTCCATTTGATGGGAGCGGTTCAAATGAAGTGTAGCTGCCCTCTGCACTGCCTTAACTTCTAAACGTGTCGTGCCCTTAGATTGATAAAGGAAGCCAGCAAACAGGACCCGGAGTTGGCTTATATCAGCAGCAATTTCATTACTGGATACAGCACTGAGACAGACCAGCCCCAAGACAACCAAATGGAGGCTGAGTTCAGGAAACAGGAAGAGGTAAGCTTGGGACAGACAGCCCTCCGAGCATAGACACTCAGGCTGCCCCTTGGGATGGTGCTGGCCCCACAGTTCCCTAGCAGGGGCTAGGATGTGACAAGTGACACTGTCTGGGGCAGCTCTTCAGGGAAGGACAGATGGGAGGTTAGCATTGTGGCTTTGTGGGCCGCAGCCATCCCATTGACCTCTGTTGGGATGGTGGCACATCTAAGGCGGCTTCCTTAGAAAACCAGAGGTCTAAACATAACATGGACACAGATACGAAGCAGGAGGTGGAAACCTGTGCCTGGGAAGTGTGTGTTTCCTTTGTAGTTTTGGGGGTCCTGAGTTTTTCGTTCTTTAAGGAGTTCAGTATACGGGGCAACATCTGGAAGAAGCAAGAACTTGATACAGGATCTCACTAACCAACAAACAACCTCTTCTGTATCAAGTTTGTTGTGCCACGGGTGCTTAGCGGGGTGATTCCTGTTGGAGTAACTTTATACAGCACGGAGGTATAACCACCTGCCACATTTGAGGGGTGCATGAGCTAGACTTGGGCAATTACCAGTGGTCTCAGAACCCACTTAGCACTTTATAAAACTGGCCATGAGTTTGGGATTCCCATGCATTTTAAATAGAGCATGAGAATAGTTCTTACTTTTCAATTTTGAATCATTGCTGTAGCTCTGGAAGTTGAAGCTTCCCAAGGTGCCAGAAGAGAAATCCTGGTTGTGCAGCTTTCAAATCCCAGGTGGTTTAAGGATTTCCCTGAAAGGGTTGTGACACTGGTAGCAGCCCACATGGCCATTCTGGAGAGTGGCATCTCACAAACCCCACTTGGGGTCCTGAAAAAGTCAGATCATCTCCTGAAAGCACCCTGTGCTTTGTGTGGGGTGGCACCACAGGTAAAGCAGGCAATGCTCACCGAAGGGTGGCGGTTCGAACCACCAGCTGCTCCTCAGAAAAGGATGTGTCCCTTCGCTTCCTTAAGATCGACAGCCCTGGAAGCCTGTGGGGCAGTTCCAGCTGCTCTGGCCTTGAGTTTGATTCCCTTAGGAAACATAGAATGGCACTTTGATTAAAGCACACACATGTACAATACAACATGTTTGTCATGAAATATTGGGCAGTGGGGGCAGGGCGCACTTCAAAAAGTTTGTGGGGAAATGTCATTGCCTTTTAATTCCGCTTTTCCCTGAATGTTTTGAAGTGCACTCGTACCTAACTAAACAATGACACTGTACCTCTGGTGCTGCTGAAAAGGACTATCCCCCTGAGGCCTGGCTTCTCTGCCCAGGTGTCCACGGGTCCTCCATGTATGTATCCAGTGCTTTCTGTCTCCCTGGCCTCTTTAGCCTGGCACTTAACAATTCAGTGTGTCCAAAGTATGGGCCAGCAATGACAGTTGTCATTTATATTTGCTGTATTGTAAGGGCTATAATGCTAAGAATTATAATGAAATTTAGATGCACTTCTTAAAATGGCTTTTTCTTGGTTGATTTTTCCCACCCTCCCCCACACCCTACTCTTAGGTCCTTAGGAAATTTCGAGCCCATGAGACCAACCTGCTCATTGCAACCAATTGGGTAGAGAGTGTGGCTCTCCCGGAATGCAATTTGGTGGTTAGTTTTGATTTGCCCACAGAGTATCAGTCTTACCTTCAGTCCAAGGGAAGAGCCAGGGCCCCGATCTCTAATTACATCATGCTCGCAGATATGGACAGGGTAAAAAGCTTCGAAGAAGACCTTAGAACTTACAAGGCAATTGAACAGGTGAGCAGCACCAGGAAGAAATTCGGCCCCTCTCAGCAGTTGTCATTCTTTGTGCAAAGGATAGTTTTAATGCACCCTCACCCCCACCTCCCCAACCACCACATGTACTTCACAAGGAAGTTGGGGATGATCCCACACCAACCCCCAGCAATGGTCCCCAAGAAAACAGCCACGGCAGTGTGGTGTGGATCTGGGCAGAGAAGGTTTTTTCTGGGACACTGTGGTGGGGATGGCGATGAGGACAGGGATTCACGGGTTAGTACCTGCATTTATGTAGAGCACACTGTGTGCACGCGCGCATGCGTGTGTGCGTATGTACGTGTGTGCACATACACACAACACAATGGTAACCCTTGAGCCTGGGTGGTGAGTGTCTCCACCTGATTGGTGCTGGGGTGGATTCATCAGGAGTGCCTTGTGAAGGTGGCACTAGGCTGTTGGATTCTGTTCAGGGAGCTGGAGGCTTCCGGTACAGAGCCTTTCATGCATGCCCAGAAGCAGATGATTAACTTAGGGCAACAAAAGGGCATTTTTCTTTTCCTTTTTTGTTTTTGCCCTCATCTTAAGTTCTGTTTTGAAAATGTTCAGATCTTGAGCGACAAATCCTCCAAGTTGGTGGACTCTCGTGAGACCAACGTTGAGCCTCTTGTGGACGATGACAATGTTATCCCACCATATGTTCTCAGGCCGGATGACAGAGGCCCCAGGGTCACCATCAATACGGACATTGGACACACCAAACGGTGGGTGGCAGCCCCGAACCTCAGGCCCTCAGGGATGTGTCGGGCTTATGTATTGGAGGCAGTGGCCAGTCTTTCCATTCTAACACGAGAAGAAGTAGCAGTTGCTTCCCCCTACCCCACCCCAGTCCTCCGATCTAGTGAAGATGTAGCTACAGTTGTGGTCGTGCATGCTGGCCACCGCCCAGCGGTCTGACGAGGTGATGCATGCTGCTTTTGACGTGATGGAGTGGTTTTTCTCTCTCAGTCTTGAGCTTTTTGGATCAACTTCCCATTAACATTCCTATTGGACTTCCCATTTGCATCCCTGTAAGAAGGTGATAGGTTAATTTATATTACTGAGTGTTCTCATCTACTTAGTCTTGAGCTGGAAATACTGTTTCTAAGATCTAGAAGCAGCAGGTATCGTGCCTAGATTGCATGCGTGGTCAGTATCCTGGAGATGAGAATAAAAGCACAGACAAGATTTTTCTCTTTCATTTTTTCCCCTGTCACAATTTCTTTCTTTTTTTTATTAAAAGATCATATTATTGGGGACTCTTACAACTCTTATAACAATCCATATATCCATTGTATCAAGCATATTTGTACATATGTTGCCATCATTCTATTCTAGATATTGACTTTCTATTGAGCCCTCGGTATCCCTGCCACAGTTTCAAAGGCTAACAAGTTACAAGAATACTACCGAGAACTCCCATGACCCCTTCTCCTAGAGACATCTGCTCCTGTCTCATGAGAACTTGCTTTGTAGGCAGAGGGTCTTCTCCAAGTTCATGGATGAGACTCTTCTGTTCATACCCGTCTCCTTCAAGGAGCCCTGGTGGCACAGGGTGGAGAGGTTAGCTGCACACTGAGAGGTCTGCAGTTCAGACCTACCTGGCTCCTCCCGGGGATAAAGACGTGGCAGCTGGTCCTGTCTGAGGTTTCAGCAGACACCCTACAGACTGTCACTCTCTCAGTGGGGCCTCTTTGAGTGGAAACCTACTGGGCAGCATGTTCTAACAGGAGTGAAACATCTTCAGGTGCTCCCTGACTTCAGGGCCCTTGCGGTCAGTCTCTGTTCTTTAGGTGAGCTGGATGACCACTTGATGCTGGTGGGGGAAGAGATGGTGAAATATGAAGAAGAGCTTGATTTGCATGATGAAGAAGAAACCAGCATTTGGGGAAGACCAGGTTCCAGAAAACGGAGGCAGTGCTACCCAAAAGCAGTTAGTATTGATTGGCACGCCAGCCTGCCCTGGCTCTCTGCGTCTGGCTCCATTCAGTCTAGGTCTCTGCTGGACTTCTGCAGCCTCGAGGCTTCTGCCCACTTGGGGTCAGGACTCCTGATCCCCCATAGACTGCTCTCAGAACTGTTCCACCTCACTGGTGTTGGGTGGCACTTGGGCTCCGCATCAGATCCCACACTGGAGATTATTTCATTCAGGGGGGGGCTGTGCTTCTTGCTTTCCCTACATGTGGGGCTGAGACAAAAGTGAACTTTTACAATAAGCTAGGCAGTTTGAGAGAGATGCCCTCTGGGTGAAGGGTGCCTGGGGAGGTCAGAACAAGCATGGAAGCTGCACGCTGGGAGGCAGAGTGTAGGAATGGTCTTGCCAGTCCCTGGAAGGAGGAGGCCATCCTCCTAGAGCTGATCCCAAATCTTTCATCCTGACTGCAGATTCCCGAGTGTCTTCGAGATAGCTACCCTCAGCCCGAGCGGCCCTGCTACCTGTATGTGATTGGCATGGCTCTGACGACACCTTTGCCAGATGAGTTCAACTTCAAGAGGAGGAAGCTCTTCCCGCCCGAGGATACCACCAGATGCTTTGGCATACTGACAGCCAAACCCATCCCTCAGGTAGCCCATCGGTGATGCCCCCCACCTCCCCCAAAGCAAAAGATCTTTCTGGAAAATATCATTTAGGAGTGCCCCCTCTTTGTGTCATATCTCAAACATGGAGGTCTTCTGTGCACCTTTGATAAAAAGGGTTTCTCTTCCTTTGTAACTGGAGCTGCCCTGGGAGAAAATGCTGGCTAACCCCTGGGTGGGGGGTGCTTTGTTCCCTGGCTCAGATCCCTCACTTCCCTGTGTACACCCGTTCGGGCGAGGTCACCATATCCATAGAGCTAAAGAAGTCTGGCTTCACCTTGTCTATCCAAATGCGTGAGCTGATTTCGAGACTCCACCAGTATATCTTCTCGCACATTCTGCGCCTTGAAAAACCAGCCCTCCAATTTAAGCCAACGGATGCTGACTCGGCATACTGCATTCTACCTCTCAACATCGGTAAGCGGGGAGCCGAGTTTCCGCATTCCCTCTCCTGGCCCAAGGGCTGCACAGTGAACATTTTTGTATGCCTGTTGGATCATTTTCCATAACTCAAGGGCCCCTGACTTTGACCTGGGCAACTCTGAACTAGATGTGGGAACGGGCAGCAAGCCTGCAGAAGAACCTCGTCCCTTTTGCCTGCTGCTCACTGCACGAGCTAGAGCTAAAGTGTTTCTTCTTTTTTCCCTAAGTTAATGACTCCAGCACTTTAGACATTGACTTTAAATTCATGGAAGAAATTGAGGAATCTGAAGCTCGCCTGGGCATTCCTAGTACAAAGTATTCAAAAGAAACGCCCTTTGTGTTCAAATTAGAAGATTACCAGGATGCCATTGTCATTCCAAGGTGGGTGGCCTGAGGCCTTGTTGGAGAACATTCCCCAGCTCAGCGGGGAGGCTGGCACCCAGTCAGTGGGCAAGGGACCTCCGTGCTGACATTAGGGACAGAGCAAGGTGCCTTGACCTGCTCTCCCCTGTGTGCCTGCTTGGAAAACCAACACATGGGCATCAGGGGATGCCTCTGACAGTCAGACAAGCTGACACCCGCGCTTCCTTCTTCATGACTCCCTCCTCTCTCCTTCCAAAGCCCTCCTCTAGAATTTGACCTTAATGACCGTTATTGTTGCTGTTTCTCCCAGGTGGCTTTACAATGAGCAGTGTCACAGCACTCGGGATGCTTCCCGGTTTTCATTTTTCTTGTGAAAATCTAGGGTTTGGAGGTTTTTCTTGCTTTCTTTCTTTTTTTTCAGCCATGAAATAAAATAGAGGCACTTTTCAGAGAACCAGAAGCATGGGTGCTGTCCTATGATTTTTCTTTATTTCACTGGCACCCCAGTGTTGCCATTTCAAATGCTGGCTGTCACTAAGCTGTCACTCTCGTTAGACTACACAGCAATGCCTTCTACCTTCTAGTTTAGCATTGAGTGCACTGTGTCTGCTTAGTTATTTGGATATTGAAAGCTTTTATAGTATTTCTATTGATGGAACTAAGAAATGTATCTCGATGCCTTTTAGCTTCGTGGCACCAAAATACAGGTACCTGGACTAGTAATGATAACAAAGAAGGGAGGAGAGTCCGTTTTCCCTTGGGTAAAGTATAGCTCTAACGGTCTCAAGTCTACTAGAAATATAGTAATCAGCATTGAAAGTTTCATTCAGGATTTTATTTTCACCTTTTAAAATCCTAATTCCTATCTCCTTATTGCCTTTGGGGAGTAGGTGCTCACCCTCAAAGTGCTATCTCCTCTCCAGGTACCGCAATTTTGATCAGCCCCATCGGTTTTACGTCGAAGACGTGCACACTGATCTCTCCCCACTCAGCAAATTTCCTTCCCCTGAATATGAGACATTCGCCGAGTATTATAAAACAAAATACAACCTGGATCTGACCAGTCTCAGCCAGCCCCTGCTGGGCGTGGACCACATATCTTCCCGGTGAGACGCTGCCCACTTCCTGGGGGATGGTAAAGGCTCACTGTCCCAGCTGCCCACCTTGAGTCTCCTGGGAACCACTGAGGGCTTGCTCACAGAGACGCTGGGGGGGGGGGCACTCTCGAGGTGGCCTGGGGGTCAGGGGACACTGAGGCTGGAGAGCCACCTCAGTGTGTGTGTGTGTGTGTGTGTACATGCGCATGATAGAATAAACTTACTCTGCCTTCTTTGTAGACTAAATCTTCTGAAGCCTCGCCATTGGAATCAGAAGGGGGAGGCCCTTCCTCTAAGCAATGCTGAGAAGAGAAAAGCCCAAAACGAAAGCGTGCAGAATAAGCAGGTGCCTGGCCAGCTGCCTTGGGCGGCGTGGTGGGGCGGGCAGGTTTTGAGCTGGCTGTGCATTTCAGGAGATCCGGTGAACTGAGTTGTGGAAATAGGGGGGAAATGCACCTGGCCCTTGATTTTGTTTGAGGGCATTGCACCCCCTGCATGCCAGCTCTCTTCTAGTGGAACAAGAAGGGTATTTCTCTTGGGTCCTCTGTGCTGGGAATGCCCACAGGTGCTTCAGATCCCTCGAATCTTCCATGGCTTTGAAGCTCACAGCCTAGAGGTGTGTGGTTTTCCAGGACCTGGAGTTGTTTTTTAAACCCCAGGATCAATCTCCTCTGCCGGAAAGGTTATTTTGTTGTCTTTTTATTTTTAACAGTGAGATGTAGCTAGTATTTAAGGTTTATTTGTATTTTTTAATCTGTAAGTGAATTCACTTCTTTGGTTTTCATTGGAACCCTCTCTCCCCTCCCCAACAGTTCCTGGTTCCGGAGCTCTGTGCTATCCACCCCATCCCTGCATCGCTCTGGAGGAAAGCCTTGTGTCTCCCCAGCATCCTGTACCGCTTCCACTGCCTTCTCTCCGCAGAGGAGCTGAGGGCCCAGATGGCCCGTGACACCGGCCTGGGCATCAGGTCCCTGCCCGCGGATTTTGGGTAGGCTTCTCACTGCAGGGCCGGCCGACCCATCGCCCAGGCGGCTCTGTGCGAGAGAGGCAGGACAGTCTGCTCCCGCAAAGATGGACAGTTGGGAGGCCCAGAGGAACTGCCCTACCTCGGTCCCTGCAGGGTCCCCATGGGTCAGAATCCAATCCATCCAAGGGCCCAGAGTTCTGTGGGGTTTCATAGACTGGCAGCCAGAAAGAACCTGGGCCGAGAACTCCTCTCTGCACTGAGCCGAATGAAGTTGATGGTTTGATATTGGCGTCAGGAAGTCATCCCCTGGCTCTAGAGGGGTCCGTAGGACCTTGAGCCCAGCATTCTCTCCCAAGCCCTAGGTGTAAACCAGAAGCGAGCCTGACGTGGTCCTGGGGTGTGCAGACGTGAAAGGGCAGCTTTCTCTTTCTCGAAGCCCTTTGGACGTTAAAAGGGGGTCCTTCATCAGGCCCCTTCCTTCCCTGTCTTCCTCCCGCTGGAGCTGTGCATCCTGCGGAGGCTGGTTGGCATGGTAGCTGCTCACTTTAAATGCACATTAGACTCAGTTGGCAAGACCAAGCTGGTACCCGCCCAAGGTTGAAGGACATCTGGTGCACAGCAGTGATGGTGACAGATAGGACTTAGGGGCCCTTACCACAGCGCTAGGCCTGGCTCCCATGCCCAGCCTGTTCCAGCGTCTGTAACCTTCAGACAGCCCCACCACATAGGCAGTGGTAGCTCATTCTCCAGTGCAGAGGCTGAGGGGCACAGAGGTTCTGTCAATGTCCCAAGCCACACTGCCACCGTCACCAGAGACCTGGGTTTCCACCCCCAGGGAAGCTCAAAGATCTTTCATGCCAGGTGAGGGAGTGCAGCAGTGCAGTAATGAAGCCCCCACACAGTAGCCATCCTCACTGTGCAGAGGTTCAAATCCTGTTGCTCCTGCTCAGAAGAGGCCCTCCTGAAGCCGCAGCCTCGTTGTGGGGCAGCACTGTGGTTTTAGTTGCACCCTCTGACTTTGAGCCTGGGCCCCCTGAAGGAAAGCTGGGATGAAAAGTTGTCAACCTGTCTTTGCAGCTACCCAAACTTAGACTTCGGGTGGACAAACTCCAGAGGCAGCAAATCCTTCATCTCGATTTCTAATTCTTCAGCCGAAAATGACAATCCATGTCAGCACAGTGTAATGGTAGGCCCTGGTCATGCTGCACATCAAGGTACTAGTAAGAGCCCCCCTCCCAAGCACCACCACCAAATGTCTGTAAGCTGCAGAGCGCCCCTCCTCGAGCCACTGGGTAAGACCCTCACCAACGCCCTGAGTGACCTCATCACAATGAAAGGTCTCTCTTACAGCAAACCTCTTGCCAGCGGCGGCCACAAGTTAGCAGACAGAGACTTTTGCCAAGAGCATCAGCCGAGTGACCGCCCTCAGGAAGTCTCTGTACAACCACCTACCTCATATCCCATTCTGAGTTCAGACCACTCTGAGAACCAGCTCAAGCCCAGTGAAGACTGTGCCCCACCTGGTCAAAAGCACCTGGAGGGAAATGCTAACCAATCCACCTCAGATGGGAGCCCCCTACCAGGCGTCCCGGGGCCCTGCAGCACCCCGAGGGGCAGGGTAGATTCTGAGCAGGGTCCCCCCGCACTTAGGTATTCCTCAACGACCCTCGGCCCCAAACCTGGGCTCATTCTCCAGGCTCTGACCCTGTCCAATGCCAGCGATGGGTTTAACCTGGAGCGGCTGGAGATGCTGGGCGACTCCTTCCTGAAGCACGCCACCACCACCTACCTGTTCTGCACTTACCCTGAGGCTCCAGAGGGCCACCTCTCCTACATGAGGGGCAAAAAGGTAAGGAGCACTGCCTCCCCCTGCCCCCCCCATCCTTTCTGACTTTTGAACCAGACAGCCTGGAAGTGGGTCTTTACAAGTGTTGGGGGTGTGTGGTCAGCACGTGGGAAAGCTGGGCCCAGGAAGTCTCCCAGGGGAACATGTCAGCCCCAGGTGTCAGTGCCCAGGGCAGGCCGGGAACCCACTTTGCAGTGAGCGGCAGAGCCTGCTGGCATGGGTGTCAGCAGATAACGTGAGTGTGTGTGTGTGTGTGTGTGTGTGTGTGTGTGTGTGTGTGTGTACCTACCCATGCCTGCCTGCTGGGGCTCAGGGAAGGCAATCCTGGAGCCTCTCTCTGAGTTGAGAGGTAGGCATCAGTTTGGAAGTATGCCATTCAGACAGGCCTAGGTGCCTAACACACAGACCTTAGTTGAAGAGCGCTTCCTCAAAGGGAAGCAGTGACAGGCTTTCAAGGATGCTGAGTGAGCATGACACTTGAGTCAAGCGCATCCTGGAGACTCCCCTTGGCAGTGCTGTGGGACAAAGGCTTCAGGGAAGAAGGGGCCACAGTGGATGGGTGCTGACAGACCACTGCAGAAGCCCTTGGAGAGGCAGGATGCCAAGCAGGAGCCGGCGAGTGGTGTCAGCACAGGGTAAACCTTGGCGCCTGAGCCAGACCGGTCAGAAGAGTGACCAGAGCAGGGGACAGGTACTGCTCTCTGGCATTTTGTCAAGAGGCTGCTGACTGAGATAGGAGGTGAAACCAGCAGCGTTTTGGTGGAATAGCAGTCAGACCAAGCTGAGATCCACTTGGCCTTGAAGCAGTCTCAGCTTATGCTGAGTGATGCTCAGGAGAAGGGGAGATTTTCAGCTAAGGCTCACAGCATGCATGCTTTAGCCAGATATGTTCAGCTACCTGACAGGGAGGGTGCTTGGGGTCAGAGAGGTTTTGGGGCCTAGTGGCGGAGGTGGATGGAACAGGAAGGTCAGGGTCTGGATGAGGGTGGGGGCCACTGGATGGCACACCGGACATAGTCTGCACAACCTCCGGGAAGGTGATCATATATCTGACGAGAGAGACTCGCCCAGGAACTGTGGTGGGAAGAAATCAGCAAGGGAGCGATTGGATGTGCTGCTGGGGAGTGAGGAGGTCATTGTCTGGCACACACAGCCCTTCTTCCTGTGCAGAACTTTCTGGGCTCTCTCACCCCAGCCCTCTGTGGGCAGCGCTTTGATTTATGCACTGCACCCCATCCAGGCCTCAGATCCCCAGCCAGGTGCCAGCAGAGCAGACCCTGGCCCACACAGCACCTTCACCACCAGCACCAGCACTCCACCCCCCCAGTGGCTCCTTCTCAAAAGATGCTCCCCACTCCCAGTCCTGCCAGCCTTTTCTGTTGACTTGGAATCTGGTTGGTCTCTGTGTATCTCTTGCTGTCTCTCTGTATCTCTCTCTCTCACTCTGTTCCCTGGTCCTCACTACACATTCTTCCCTCTCAGCCCCTTCAATGCTTTGTCTGACTGGACAGAAAAGGAAAACAGCGGGATTCAAGCCTGCTTCCTGTTTACACCCCAGGCAGTGTGGGACAGCCCCGGGGCAGAGTGAGGGCATTTGGGGACTCTGTCCTAGCTGCTGCTTAGCTCCCAGGGGCAGCGATTCCGACTCCAACTGCCACCATGTCCTCCTGAGGTGCCTGCCCAGGCCGCCTGCAGGCTTCTTAGGCAGTAGCTGTTATGCAGGAAATAGCTCTGGAAGCCCTTAACTAGAAGGGAGCCAGCCAGGTATGAGGAAATGAAGGTTGACAAGTCCAGGCCCCAGTCTCCATGTAAAATCAAGACCGGACCACAGAGGGCTGAGCACATGCAAGGAGATGGGCATTTGTAAGAAAAACTCACATCCGACCTGTGAGGTCACGCTTTATTACCTTTTTCTTTATTAACATCTTCAAATGGTGAAACCAAAAAGTCTTGAAATGCCATTCAAAAGGAAAGACTATTCGAGACAAGGCTGCCATTGGAGTTGCCTTTGTGGCTTCGATTCTAGGAAAATAAAATTATTTTAGCCTTATTTTCTGCCAGGTTTGACTTTGTAGCTAAAGTTTATAGCCCTTTAAAAATTTTTTTGGGTTTTTTTCTGAATCAAGAATATTTGGATAACATGACGTTTCATATGAATTCTTTCCCAATAATCCCAATTAGCATCTGTGTTAGTCTGGGTAGACTGGAGAAACAAATTCATGGATATTCATCTGTGAATAAGAAAAAGGTTTATATACAAGAGCAATTGAATATTGAGAAAACCTCCCATCCCAGTCCAGATCAAGTCCGTAAGTCAAATATTAGCCCATATGTCTGATACCAATCTACAAAATCTTCTTCAGACTCACGAAACACATGACATGAATCCAAATGCAGGAAGATTACAGGCCAGTGGGTTGACCCACAGTCTTGTGGATCCAGTAGTGGTGTAAGCATATGAGTGCTGGCAGGGATCTGTACGTGGCTTCTCCGGCTCCAGAGGTCTGGGTGCATCAGGGTAGGTCCATGTGGTTTCTCCAGCTCCCAGGGTGTAGTGCCATGTGTCTTGTCGGTAGAATGATCATTTGGGTATGAGTGTCATGTAAAATTTTTCTGGGACAGGTCAGCAACAGTAACCTTTCTCGCCTCGGGAAAAAGAAAGGCCTGCCCAGCCGCATGGTGGTCTCCATGTTTGACCCCCATGTGAACTGGCTTCCCCCAGGCTACGTCGTCAACCAGGACAAAAGTCACGCAGACCAGTGGGACAAAGATGACATGGTAAGTTAGTGATAACTCTTGATGCTCGAAGCACATGGATGACTTTGGTGTGTGTGTGAGGGGGGGTGAAGTGAGGGAGGTTTGTTCTCCTAGTCTCTGTCTCCCCCAGAGGCTGTGGGTCCAACAGAGTTAACCTATGGAAGCTTTCAGAAAGCTCCCCATGGGCATGCTCCTTTCTCTTCCCAGTCCCGGTTTTCCATGTGCTTTTTGAAGGTTCCCTGGTATTGGCAGCTCCTGGTGAATTCCTTGATGTGGGCTGGTTCTTTGTCGGAAGTGGAGTTGTTTGTGGTCTCTTCTGTACCCAAAGGTGGAGGGCAAAGCTCCCCGCATTTCACTCTCCTGATGGTAAAGATGGCTGGCTTGCAGCCTATGGGTGAGGTCACTGGCTTCAGTATGCGCTCCTCTGAGCAGCTAAGCCTTCCTTGGTGAGGACTATCGGAGCCGGCCATAAGGCTTCTGTTTCCTGGGAATCATTTAAATCCTGCCAGAAGACTTAGGAAGACTCCCAAGCATTAGGCACAGTCGCTGCTCCACTTGGTTTTGTCTGGACGGCCACCAGGGGGCTCCTGGGAGCCCCGCAGGCCTACATGTCCCCTAGGCTGGGACCTGCTGCAGGTCCCATGGTGGAAAGTTCAAGCTCCCCGCTCAGGCACTTCCATTTCCTGGAGATGGATTTTGCACTAGTGACAAACCAGCAAGCTGTCACTTCATTTCTGCCTCGTGCCAACAATGATAGTGCTGTCTGTCTCCCGGGTTATGTTCTCTAGGCCAGCCTTCCACTCTCTTCCACGGCTTCTCATTGGGGCGCAGCAGCACGTACCAGGCCTGCATTCTGATGTTAGCCGATTCCTCAGGCATATGTTTAACTCGTGTAGTATCAGCCTGTTACAGAAATGGAGCTTTCCTGGAAGAGCCTTGGGCGAGAAAACATAGGCAAATTGTGTCAGAAATAGTCGAGGTGTAGGAAACTTAGAAAAATGGATCAACCTTAAGAGAAAAAAAAAGTGTCGATTTTTGAGAGCTTTCGTAACAATTCTCCTGTCTTGTCAGTATTTTTCAAAATACCTTGGACACTACTGTTAATTGTAGCTTCAAGGTGACCTTTTTGTTAATTTTTTTTTAAGGAGCAGCACAGTTATTTTCCTATGACTTGGGACCTTGGTTCTTGTAGTACACCCATAGTCATTTAGACTCGGTGAAGTCAGCCTTCCACTCTGCAGTCATTCCTCAGTTACATCCAGCTGGCTGTCTGGGAATGAGGCTGCTAAGTGACCTGGAAGGTGTGTGAACACCATTGTGCATACAAGCCATGCGCAGCTTACAAACGGACCCTGTCCTCAACTGTTTTTAAGTCACATCTGCACCTAAGTCAGAACAGGTAGACGCGGTTTGTAAGTCCGTTAGTCAGATGTTGAGCTTAGTGTACAGTATACCCTTCTGTGCATTAAAAAAAAAAACTAGCAAAAGACTCCCAGCTATCTTGACGTTTTAATTAACACAATAGCCAGGAAGAATGACCGAGTTGAGATGTGTGTGTCATAAGGTTACACCCATTTGCAAGGGCTAACCATGGTGGAGCCTTGCATTTTTATCACGAGGTGTTGCGGGGTGGTGTGTGTGTATGTGTGCGAGGTGTTGCGGGGTGGTGTGTGTGTATGTGTGCGAGGTGTTGCGGGGTGGTGTGTGTGTATGTGTGCATCGGGGGTGGGGGTGGGGTGTGTGTGACATGGGTAAGTGCCCAAAGCCAGAGCCTACCATTGTGCAGGTGGGGGTGTGACTCTACTGTGAGTTTGGGGCTTGCTGCATTCCTGTCCTCTTCACCTTACTCCAGCAAATCGGGGAAGGTGAACCCCTCCTTTTCCGCCTCCTGCAATTCCCTAGCAGCTCTGGAGCAGGAAGTCAGAGAAAGGGGTTTGTGCGTCCACTGCTGTCTTTCATTGGATTTTGCAAGAGCTTGAAGCATCTAAAGGACCATAGCTCCTCCCACAGCTAGCGGCTCCTCCCACAGCTACCGGCTCCTCCCACAGCTGGTCTGTCAGACAGTCCTTCCTTGATGCTTGCTTGCTTGTTTCTACACTCTGCTGTGGTAACATTTACCGAAGTGGTAAAGATTTTAAAATATTTATACGCACATGTGTGAGTGTATTGATTATTTTGAATCATAGTTTGCCCTTTTCTTCCACATGTGTGTGCATTTAATTGCAGTTTGACCCCTCAGTGGTGAAACCCCTCACAGGGCCTTGAATGAGGAGAGAGGGCTTTAAAAAATAAACAAAATAAAAGCTATGAATTGACATGCCCCCTCCCCTTGGCTTTGATAGGAAATGCTGTGTTGTTGTGTTAATTACGTGTTTTTTCCCCATCGCTCCTTGTTTTCTTTTAACTGAGTGGATATTTGGCACCTTTCCAGCATTGCAAAATCATCATCCGATTACCCGATCCTAGCTTCTGATTACAGCTGTCATCCACAAATAAGCTTTTGCCCAAGGATTGAAATGAAGCAAAGTTCTTCTGACAGAAATCAGGGAGTTGTGTTGCTCGCTGCCTCTGTTTTGTGCAGTCCCACTGTAATCTGCGACCCCCTTCCTGGAGTGGGGTTGCCGAGGGGTGGGGGACACCGATTCATAGCTTTGTCTCCACGGTCACTCCTTTTCCCAGCCCAGCCATTTAATTTTGCAGTGTAGCGAATGCCCTTTGATCTGAAGAGCGGGGGGGGGGG